TTATAAATATACGGTTACTCTGGATTAATACAAATTGGTCAAGTTTAAAAATATATATATTTTTAAATTTTACAATGTTAACACCAAGTATAGAAATATAAGCTAGCATGGCGGCACCAATATATAAGAAATATTAAGAAAATGTAAAAATTTATGCATTATGCAAAATAAAACCAATATCAGTTTTATTTTTTTTTAATACAAATATGTGACTGCAAGGTTTTCTCTGAATACTTTTTATTATCTTTTCCGAGGCTATGGCTCCCCACAATTGCACATGAGGTGGTACCCCTATAGATATGTGATTATAATGAATTAGAAAATTGTACTTTTACCCATTATATGTAGTGTGTATTTAAAGAAAGTTAGGAGGGGGCTCAGATATGGCTCGCTTTAGATCCACACGGGTTTGTTGGAGTTCTTGGTGCATTATTGTTCTCAAATTGTTTATAGGCAATTCAAGGTTATAGTCAACTCCTGTGAAGGCAGATTCTTTGGCAACTCATCAGCCCTTATGCATTCAGTGGCCATCATGAGATGGCGTCCACATGAAATGAACTAGCTCTTACTATCATTAATGATCAGGCTTGGATACCAATGATCACAGGAAATAGATTTACAGGTCCCAGAAGACGAGAGGAAATGCCAGCAGTGTGGAGAAATGCCTGACAGACCACTGGGAACATTATCTAATACAGTGCATAGTTACAAACCAAATAGGATTTCATTTAAGATTTAACAGAACAAAAGTAGTTGTTAAACACATTGGGCATAATCTTACTGAAGCGAACAAGGGAGTCATCAATACTCATACTCCGTCTAAGTAAGACAGAGACAAGTAACATTTAGCGAACTAGCCAGAGGCTTAGGGCCCACGCAGGAATATCCCTGCAAAAATATATATATATATATATTATTGTATTTGTAACTAACTTAAGACACAAACATGTTACAAATGTGACTTATAAGAGTTGTGTGCAATTAAGGATGATAAGAATCACGTATCATTAATGTGCCGTATTTTGAGACATGTATACATTTGAGTGCAAGAAGCAGGGTAAATACTCCAGTCTGAAGGGTAGAGGCTCAGTTGTTTATATGGTCTCCCTACTTAATATATTAGCCATCACCCATTGTCAGGACATGCACTTCCAGCTGTACCAGTGGGGCGGTGTTGGGAACCATCAGTGTACAGTATATGATTTGAGCAGCCCATCCTACTGTTTTGGTAGTACTTATAGTAACAATGAGGACCATAGTGTATATGCCGACATACAACGAAATTAGAACATAGAAATCTGAACTATTGAGTTGGACAAACCAGAAAATATTTTTTTTACTTGTGTTGCTTTGACAGACTAAACCAACCCATCCTAACATCCCTAGGCATAATACACGATATGTGGTTTAGCTTAATTTATTAAAAAAATCTTACTAATCAGTATTCTACTATCTAAAAGCTACGAATTCTGACTATTGACGATCGTCACAATATGTGCTATCTAAACAGGAGGATGGGTTGGGTTTGAGAGAGGGAATACTCTGTGGACAGAGTATCAATATGACTAAAAGCATTGAGTTTTGTATCAAAACAAAGCTGGGGTTGATCTTTAATTTGCTTCTTGAGTGGGAAAGGGAGGGATAAAAATTTGAAAAAAGATGATAATCTCTCCCGGCGCAGAAGAGTGCTTTTGTTGCCTCTTGGTACATAGATGTGAGTGTTGGTGGGTGACAAGGGGTTTGGGGAGGGGGGGATGGCTTCTCACTCCCCCCCCCCCCTCCGTGGCTCAGAATGGCTTGCTGCAACGGTGCTCTAGTGTCATAGACTACAGGCCTCTCTCCCCGACAGATCAACTTCAAACTGTAGTCACCATGTTGTTTATTTAATACTAGAATGTTTAACACTAGAATGTTTATTTAATATTAGAATGTTTATTTAACACTAGAAAGTTTATTTAATACTAAAATGTTTTATTTAATACTAAAATGTTTTAATACTAGAATGCTTATTAAAAACTACAATGTTTTAATACTAGAATGTTTATTTAAAACTAGGATGTTTAATACTAGAATGTTTATTTAACACTAGAATGTTTAATACTAACTTTTTTATTTAATACTAGAATGTTTTATTTAATACTAGAATGTTTTATTTAATACTAAAATGTTTATTTAATACTAGAATGTTTGTTTAATACTAGAATGTTTATTTAACACTAGAATGTTTTAATACTAAAATGTTTATTTAATACTAGAGTGTTTAACACTATAATGTTTATTTAATACTAGAATGTTTATTTAATACTAGAATGTTTAATACCAAAATGTTTATTTATTACTAGAATGTTTAACAATATAATGTTTATTTAATACTAGAATGTTTATTACTAGAATATTTAATACTAAAATGTTTTATTTAATTATAGAATGTTTATTTCATACTAGAATGTTTATTTAATACTGGAGTGTTTAATACTAGAATGTTTATTTAATACTATCTGGCAGCTTTGTTGGGAATTTTTATATTGGATGTGAGGATATTGACAAAGGTTTACGAATGATTGAGACGTTTTGTCGAACATTTTGTCGACATTTTGTCAAATTCCCAAGTTTTTTAAACTGAGGTAAGCTACTATCTTTGATTCGGCGAATACATTGCTTCTTGTTCGTTAATCATTAGCGGAAGAATTTCGTGTCTTCAGCATTGTTGCTTGCTGTATTTACCTGAGGGGGTCACTATCTTCAGTGGCCTCGCCGGGAACAGGAAGCTGGCGGTTTGTCAAAGGCCCCTATTATTCTTGAGGATTTTTCTCCAGATGAATTTTAAGGTGAAATATTGTCTTGACATTTACGGTTTGGTCGGATAGATGAATCCCCACACACACTCTTAGGGGTGTGTGGACTGGCAATTTGACAGCCTGTCAAATTTTGACAGGCTGTCAAATTAAGTTTTACCTTTCTACTATCCGTTAATAGGTCTACACTGGAGAATTATAATGCTAAGATATTAATAATTATTGATTTTTAAATTGTTATGGGATGTCCAAGTTGCTCAATAATGTATGCTTTTGTCAAATTAAATATTCGTTCTGATAGTTCTGAACATATATAAATTTATGCTCTCGCTTTACATGCTGCTTCCAGCAACTTATTCCTCATTGGATCTTGCCAGTAACTGGATTGGTAACTGTTAACCGTTTTGTCGTGTTGGGGTATCAACAAATCATACAGGGCTTCTTGTCAATACAGGATAGCCTATCAACAATATCCAGTGTGAACAATATCGAGTGACGTAGGTTCGAAGTAGAATCGACATTATTTCAACGTTGAGCCAACGTTATACTCGAGTTTTGTGTCCAATCCCAGTGGCCACAACACCTAGGTGCAATACCGAATTAATGTCATCAACGATGATACAACGCTGAACCAATGCCACGATTTGATATTGTGTGCACTGGGAGTGAACACAAACGTGTAACGTTAGTTCAACTTTGATTCGGCGTTGAAGCTTTACACTGATAGTGCGCCCACTGGGTACGAGTGCATCCTAAATGTCTGTCATACTCTTTCCTACAGTTGTATCTTAATGTAGTACAGCCAATGTGTGGGGTAAACTTACCCGAGGCAAGTGGGGCATGGCTGATAATGAATTTATTTTTGTCTGGTTACTCTAGTCCGGCCGATTTGCACTAGACTATCTAACAATAACGTTAATTCAACATTGAATCAACGTTATGAGTGTTGAATCTTGTGTTAATTTACCACTGAATTAATTTTGTACTTTTGTTATTGTGCTCATTCCCAGTGGGCTCGATATCCAAGAGTGGCTTTGCTCTTTGATAATGCGCCTACTGGGCTGGGTAGCCTCATATTTGATAGGACGCTGGTGGCTTGGGCAAGGTCTATTATTTTGGAGGCTTTTATCCCCCAGCTGTATTTATGGTTTCGTCGAGTGCTAAAACTCATTTCCTGTCAATTTATTCTGACAGCCGTTTCATATTTATTTGGCATATTTAATAACCACTGGCAATTAGACTAAAAACTTAAATTTCGTGGACTAATTGTTAAAATGACCAAAACCATATGTGAAAACTTACTAACCATTAACGTCCAGGCATGTCAAACTGAGGGTCCCCCGAGGGCCACGAGTCACATTTGTGTTGTCATGAGGGCCACACACCACAACTAACTGAAGTCATTTAATACAAATTATTGTACAATATTTTTATTACTTAAACCTAGAAACATACAATGTGCATACAAATCGTTTAGCGACTAGCTACATTCACGAATGCAAAGTAATGAAGTAGTTTAACAAAAGAAAAAATTTTAAACGGCAACAGACTTCTATGCAACAGCAACAAATACATTGTATAGAAAGTACAACGGTTCAGAATGAACATTTATTTACGACTATTCAATCTTTAGTGTTTTGTCATGAGTATTATTTTTAATGACAATTTTTGCAGTGTCCGGCTGAAGTGTCTGTGCAGTTCCCACTTTGATAAAAAAAGACGTGTGTTGATCAGTCGGTCTTGTTCTTCGAGAAGTTTTAGTTTATTTCATGAAGGAAAATACCGGTTCACGCACTTAAGTAGATCCGAATATTGCCATAATCTTTGTGGCAAAGTTTTTGAAGTGTCTAAACTTTTCCAGAAATTAAAGACGAGGTATCCCCATTTCAAGATACTTTGCCGAGCGTAGAATCAGACTGCATTTATAATAGCAGGCTTTCTTTTGCCTTGGCAACATCAAAAGGTGAATGGTGCTGAAGGTGATTGTTAAAATGATAACGGCAATTTTGGCCGTTAAACGACCAAATTACAGTATCATTTATGCGGGCCGCAGGTGTGCTTGCAAAATGCCGCATGTGGGCCGAACGTTTGACATGCGTGAATTTTATTTTAGACAGCATTGTTTCAAATTAGCTTGCCCCTAAATTGGATTGAATTGACGTTATCTGCCGTGAGGATCATGGGAAGGGAAATGAGCTCACTTAAGACCTTAATTTTTTTTATTGATCAACAGGGTTCAGAGGACAGTTGCGTGACAAATTACACTTGCATAGGATGCAGTTACAATTTTAAGACTCGACAAATAACCCGACATTTATTTTTATAAATTAAGTCTACATTTGTCTTAATTGTTATCAAGCAACCATATATTTAGCAAACCTCAGTACAGAAATGTTATTAAAATTAATGACAATAAAATCAAAACATTACATCGAGATATTAAAACTGACAGTAGGCTGCAAGATTATAAGATACAGCTAAATCATGGAGAGGTTGTGAAACCTCGTGTCACCGTAGAAGAGCTGGAAAGACAAGTCATAAGGTATGAGAATCCCCAACTTAACGGCCATAAAGATGGCGACCACTGATCAAGCCCAAGCGTTTAAACACTCAATATGTAATTTGTATTGTATATATTACCACACATGATGCTGATAGTACCTGGCCTATTCGGCCTACACTACTTGCATAATATATTGAGCAAATAGCATACAAGTATGAAAATGTGATGCAACACGGTTTTCAATCATAGCTGTGCAAGTTTGTGTGTAAAAAGCATGTTGATTTTAAAGAAACTATTAACTTTTTTGTATGAATGCACTTAAATGAAAAAACCTAACCGAAGCCCGAGACCTAATATTAAAGTACATGCCTCGAACAGGACTGGGCCACAAACTTAGATCAGATAAAAAACAAAATAAAACCTGCAGTATTTTCCTGGTGAAGTTACCGTGCATATTGTAGTCAGTGTGGATTTTTACAGAAAGTTTGTTAATTTCAAGAAGTTGGAAATTTATTGGTTACGAAGTGCATTTCAAGAATAAGGTAGAGTTGTGATGACATCCCTTTCTGGGGGTTTGATCACCGCAGCTTGTAGGTGAAGACCACCACTGCAAGATGAAATCAATCGTTAGTATTAGGAAGGTTAGTGGTAGGGATAAGTATTCTAGAATAAAGTAAAACGTGAACGTTCTTTTACCTCTCCAATTTATAAATGTTACCCTTCATCGCAATTAGTCTTAAGATTAAATAGCGGAATTTAACCTTCACAATGACAAACAAACGAAGCGCTTAAGTGACATTACTAAACCCGTCTCGCGTCTTTACAACAGCAGCATCGGTTTTCAGGTCTTACCTATTACGGCTACTATCCCAAGCAGCAAAAGGAAGAAGGCTGCGATAAAGTACAGACGTTTACGCTGCTGCTTGCCACGACTGTCGAGGGTCTGCTTGTCTGGTCTGAGCTCTTCCAAGAAACTTACGTCCTCTCCCTGAAAGGCCGCCCATTCAGTTTTCCTGTAAGTCAGTGGACAAATTTATTAGTCTTAAACTTTATTATTAGAAATTAAAACCCGATCAGCTTTGTTCTTTCTTCCTGCGACACTCGGTTGAATTTAACTGGATTTGCACTTTTGTTTTATAGGAAACCAAAGACCTTTGTGACGCAAATTATTTAATACCTTAACTACTGCACACACAAAAGCTGATTCAATACTTATTTTCAATTTTTGCAATGCAATGAGGAGAGGACATCCGATAATTTTGAGGGTATTTATATAAAAAATTAGTTTTTTTCTAGAACTAGTCAAACTTTAATAGTTGATTTGAAAGGTAATTATTGTACATATTTTAGAACGAGGGGATATAATCCAGTCCCCCAGCAATGAAAGACATTATCATCTCGAAATGTACGAAGAGTGGGATGCAATTTATTATAGGCACGATTGCCCCTGATTTATTTCCACTACAATAAAACCTCAACTATTGTAGCTGTTTCAAGTTACGTGTAAATATATTCATAAGATTTAAATTTCTGTAAGGACTTCAACCTCATTCTTAACTTGATATGGACTTTCACTTGTCGATATAATGCCCTCAAGCAGCAGCATTTCTGATACCGATTCTATTGATCATATAATTGAGCAACAATCTTTGAGGGGAACATGCCTCCACCCTGTGCCTCTTACATCCTCCCCCTTCATTAAACATTGATGGATATATGAAACATTACCGAAATATTAATTCATATTTTCTTGGCCCTGTATTACCATCTTCAAAATTTACTATGGCTTATTTTCACTGGAGATAACTCTCATACACAAGCGGTACCCACTATATGGATATGGTTTAAGAATGGAGAGGTTGTCCTGGAGACTGACACCATGTTCTAACTCGGGTATATTCTGTTCTAAGGCTTTATCATTGTGATAATTGCACTGTGAATGTACCTTCATTCACACTTATGGATGGGATGGGACCTATTTTGTCTGGTGAAGTTACCATTTCTTAGGCTTTAGGGGTGGGGTATATACAACGGTGGCATTAAACGTAGTTTTATCTAACATTTTAGAGTTTCAAAATTATTTACTTCTAATATGCCTGTCATTCATTTGACAAATACAAAACAGCTATCTGGAATGTTAGACAAATCAATACTTACCTTATCTGTGAGAAGTCAAATGTATCCAAGTTGTGGCCGGCAAAGCTGTCAAGATCCTTTGTATTATTGTCCCTGGAGGTGTATTCTGAGTGCATGCTGGAATACATCCTTCGAAGGTTTTTAGATAGCTCTTTCAAGTTCTTTGGGGAAAAAGAAACACTTCGGGATCTCATACGAACACTTTCTTGTTGCCTTTCATCCTTATATATTGATAAAGTGACGCTATCAACTGAACCAACACGAGCTCTTTGTGCACTAAAAAGCTCATACGAATTTTGAGGGCTACTTGATAAAATTGTTCGGTTTGTTTTAAATCTTGCTTTCGGTGTTTTTTCCTGCTCATAACACACGATATCTTTCATAATTTGTGAATTTGGTTGACATGGATTATTTTGATACTCTTGTTCCGCTTGAGAAGAACCTTCACAATCATTCATTCTCTCTGAGGGCATCCGTTGCGAATCCATTGCACGAGACTCGTGTATTCTGCAACAACGTAGGGGGGGGGGGTTCAATATACAACTAAAAATAAAACTTTCACATTAAAATCTAATCAGCACTAAATGGAAATTAATCAATTATCGTACATAAGGATGCCTAATTATTTTAACAATTCAAAACACAGTCGAGAGAGAAATTTGTTTGGGGGGGGGGGGGGTGTCATGGTGGGGGGGGATGATGCAGAGGAACAGACGAAGGGAGAAGTTTGGAAATTGGAAATGTGGTACAAATTATGACAGCAGCCGGGTTATTTGCCTTGTTAACATGATTGTGTGTGTGTTTCACAGCTAAGCTTAGCTTGATCGTTTGTCATGGAACTGCGTGTGTAAGGTTCTTCATACGTACATTAGCACATTGATGTCAATAGTTGTATACTATACTTAGTATACTTATACTATACATGTATACTTAGCATTAACATGTTTATGTACATTTTTTTATTTAAAGGGTATTTTATTTGTGTATATAATTTTTAAGAGGGGGAATGGTTTCTGATGAACATTTCATCCAGGAATGATGTATTGTTGGGCTCTGATTCTATCGAGAAGATGAGAGGCTCCTGGGCCACAAGTTGTGGGAGTGGGGCGTCTCATCTTTGACTAGTCTTTCTAGCATTGTGTCTTAACATTTCGATCGAGTTCCACACCCTGGTGACAGTTGTAATCTGATGCGCAGTGGTTTATGTTAAGGTGTTCACATAACTATCGGATTGTCTGATCATCTAGTGGACAATGCTTTAGAGTTCTTAGTACCTTATTTTGCACTGCCTGTAGCCTAAATTTGTTTAACGTCACGGTTCAAACTTAACTTAAACCAACAAACATTTTTAGTAACATTAAATAGTGTAAAATATAAGGTGTGCACAGCATACCTGATAAAATGAGAATTGTAGAGGGGCGGGACCCAGTAGATCAAATCAGGGTCGGGGGTGAACCTGGCCACCAGCGGACGCCACACCATAGACAGCCCCTGCTCCAACTCCTGTCAACCAAAATTGGTTTTCAATCTATACATTTTTAAAGCGGGAGTTTCAAACGCCCTAAAGACACGTTAAAGTTTAATTTAAAACTACCAAGGTCACTGTAGTACGCATTTGTGAAATAAATACTGCCAGATTAAAGTATGGTCAAAGTGAAGACACTAGAAACCTTAATATATGGTAGCTCTACAGTGGTTACTGTTTATGCCTGTAGTCTGGGGACTACTTTTGAGGTAAAAATAAAACTGTAGCAACAGATTACCGTGTCCTAGTGAGGCTGTCTAATGGAACGATGTATGGCGTAGGGAGCTGTCGGAGATGACATGGCAGATGCACCACGACATGGTTAAAAGCAATAAAACCTGGGATTCAACTGAACCCTCTTAGGCTTCCGCGGCTTCCATTGATTTCACTGTGTAATGTAATAATTATGCGTTATGTTTGATTTAATAAATTATTTGACGCATGTTTAGCACACTGATATTGGTTTTTCAACCTACACCTTATAAGGGTTCTCGGCAAGCCTTGGGGGCGGAGGGAGTAGAAGGGGGTTGCGGGGGGCTTGGAAAACCCCGGGTGGAGAGGGAGGGGGCGCAGAGCTCTGGACAAGCGTCAAATTGCTGAAACTAGTTGCTCAAAACAAATTCGCTGCCACATGCCCTTTCGGATACGAGCCGCCGAGGACATTAACACGGGTAACAATACTTAAAACACACAAACGCTAAGCTTACGCATCATTAACATGAACCATACCTCCTCCTCTGCGTTATATGCCGCATTCACCATTACAAATTTGTCTCGCGAAGATGATTGCAACATAGATGGCTTTCAGACCAACACCAGTTCACCACCCTCTCTCCTTCCCGTTCAGTCTACGAATGGAAATTTTGAATCGTGGTGGTGGGCCGACACGAACCTCAACTCGAGCAATTAGCAAGCTTGAAAGTCATTAAACACGGTTCGATCCCATCAAACTGGTTTAAATTCCTACCACGATGTCAACCCGTCTTCATGAATATTGGCCAAATGTTCGTTAATCTAGCCGCTATCCTCCTTGTTTATGAAACAAAAACACTTTACACAAGACTCAATTGATGACATTCGAATTTTTCGAAAATTGCTTCTTTCACTTCTTATGTTCGAGTTCCACTTCTGTAAATGCTTCATCCACGTACTGCAAATTCTCAGTCCAGCTCGTCCTCATCTACAAAGGCCAAATGCTCGTTAATTTATTTGACAAACTCCCTGTTTATGAATGAAAACGGTTTAGGCTACTCACAAATGATGGCTGAGCAGTACCTCGCTGAAGTCCTCTGCTTGCATCGCGAGTATGTAAATGCTTCATTCACATACATTCACTTTCACTGCAAACACAAATAATCGCCAACAGAACCTTAACACATACGCCTAACTATACATTTAATTTTTATTGTATAATTATAATCATTTATATTTGAGAACAAACCTATTTTTATTACACAATGTTAAAACCGATGAATGCATCTCGGGGGGACTGCCTCTAACGAACCTGGCCTGAGGACGGGTTTCCCAGCCTACCCTCATCAACAAAGGCTAATCTAGATGCCAAACCTCCTGTTTATATATAACTTTTTTTTCAGGCCAGGCTCGTTAAATCAGCGGCTGGCTGCGTCCTGAAACACCATCTCAATACACAGTCATAAATTTTTACGAATTGTGCATTCAAAATGTTCGTTATAAATTAATATTATTAGTCATTAGAGTTCTATGTATAGTTAGGCGTAGGTTAGGTTCGGTGTTTAGGTACTGTTGACGATTATTTGTATTTGAAGTACGTGGGTGAAGCATTTACAGTGTTGTGCTTCGAACAGAAGTCGTCAGCGAAGCACTGTTCGAGAAATACTCGAACATCATCAGTTAAGTCGTGTGTAAACCGTTTTTCACTCACAACCACGGGGTTTGGCGGCTGGATTAACGAGCAGTTGGCCTTTGTTGTTATGATGAGAGTCGTTACACACGATTCACAACAGTGTGTCAAATCTATTTACTAGGCTTCAGGCATTTTAGAGGCTGAAAGACTGGTTCTGTATTATGCACTCTTTATTCTATATATTGTCTCTGGTTTTGTACAATGATCGGTTTATTTATAAAGGGTTAGTTCTCACTGTACGACGATGCTCTGCCTTCACTTTCAGTCAGACATGTTGACCTGTCTGACTTTAGTAGCCTTCCTATCTTCCGCTGCATTCGATGTGCTAGCGAAAAATTCTACATGAAAACTTTAGCAGTTTATCTTGGGTGCACGACCAAGCTTCGTTCGGCCCCGTCACAGAAAGGTGTGAGGATCTTTAGTTTAATCATTAGGCTGCAATTAAAATCTTAACAGAAGATCGCTTGCCTCTTTAGTCGTGAGTATCCCCTCCCCCCCCAAACTAGGAACTTTCATTTAACAGTAGCCTAGGTTTACCAGAGGGTCACAGTCTCTTTAGTGACTTCGACCGGGGCAGGAAGCCAGCGGCTTGTGAAAGACCTCATTCTTTCTGGTGAGTTTTTCTAGTTGTATTTTGAACTGGGGCACTATTTTGGCATGTGCGGCTTCGGCGGACAGGCGATTACATGGGTTTATTACCCAGTGGGTGAAAAAAACATTTCCTGTTATTTGCTCTACACTGTGGATTGTTGAACTGGAAGCTATTTTCACTTGTGCGAGGTAAATTTTACTTTTTAACCTCCGCGTTTTGATGCCTTTTAATGAAGTCCGGATTAATTTGTCTCAGTTAATTTAGAATTTTAAAGATGTTGATGAGATAGCCCTATCATGTCTGGTTTGTAGTATTGTTAAGCTTTGTTCCTGCGATTCACACCCGTCTATCATTTGGCCCTTCGCATTTCACATTTCCTCCTTAGTTTAGGGGGGGGGGGAACTCCCCCTCCCCTCATACCCATGCTGTTGGCAGTGGGTATGGGTTACAGGGTTATAATGGGTTAAGAATTTAACTCAATGTGTGGTTAACTATTTACATGTTTAATTTATATCGAATTTGTGATCAAGATTGATGGGTAATTATCAAATTATGTTTTTTGTAGTTAATGTTACAGTGCAGGGTTATGAGGTATGCAAATAAGAAACTAGGAGGCAATGAGAGCTTGCAGACAATAGACTTATGGGCATTATCTGCAAGAGGCATACTGGATACTTGACTAAAAATTTCGGTAATTTTTTAATCCGGTGTGGGTGTGTTTTCACCTAGTTCACCTAGTTGTACTTGCGGGGGTTGAGCTCTGCTCTTTCGTGTTTGTGTGTGTGTGTGTGTGTGTGTGTGTGTGTGTGTGTGTGTGTGTGTGTGTGTGTACTCACTTAGTTGTGCTTGTCAATCAACTGGTGCACAGATTTCCGAGACACATTCCAGTGTGTGTGTCTGAGGATGTGGGGGGGGGGAGATGATGAGGGGGATGGTGAAGGGTGATTAAGGGGTGGAGGGAGTGGAGGAGGGGGGCAGTTATATCAATGATTTAATTCTGTAAAATCATCATCGTCTTTAGATACAATCAACTTATTTTGGATCAAGTATAACTAACCCGGGTATCCAAACCAGATGTAAAACTAATGGACACTTGGGTATAATCTTCTCAGACGCAATTCATGTTTAAACTTCGTACCTCCGCGATAGGAAAACATGCACTCAGAATAAAAAGTCTAATAAACAGGTAGCAAGTCTGGGAACGGTAATTAACTGGATTAAACAAAACGAAACTATCTTGTCTAGAAATGTATGATACACTGGTCTCCCTTGATGATATATATTTTTTTCCTTGGACCTTCGTCTTACTGACCTCACTGGAGAGATCACATTGTGTCAGCTGGCAGACAGTCTGTAAGAGTTTGGAAGGCTGTAGGGTGTAAGAGTGAAGAAGCCAGACTGTCACGGCAGCTTGTTAGCAGTGGAGGAATCAGACTGCCACGGCACCACATGCCATATCCGTCAAGCAAGTCAGGAAGGCATAATTTTCACCTTTTCCCTCAGTGAATAAAATAGCTTGCTAACAAGAAAGGAGAATGAGGCGATTTAGAAAAAAGAGGAGGAGGTGGAGGAGGAAAATTTGCGTTTTTCAGATTATCAACCAAGTTTCCTTTAAGACCTCCATGAAGGATTGAATAACCAAGCTGGTAGAGGTAGCTATTGATATAAATATTTTTCAGTTGATACTCTAGACGGCCTCGCACATTTCATACTGCTTCTCCGCCATCGTAGCATCCTGCTTTCTCTACTCCTCCAGTATTTCCAGAGAGATTAAGGGCGTTCCAGGCGTCCAAGAGCCCCGCTGGAGACTTTTCCCATTTCCAAGCTTTTGAGTGAGAATTCCTGAGGAAATCACGTCTACTCTTATCTCCTCACATTACCTGTATTTTAGAAATTTGTCTTTAGCTCTTTTTTTCCAGGAAGGGAAGACTGAGCCTATTCTGAATTATCAGTTTTGTTACATTGACCGTCCATCAGTTTCTGTCTGTCTGTCTAACTGTCAGTCCATCTGGAACACTTTTTAATATAACTTGAAATTGTTGTACAAATTCACTATTGAGATTGTCACAGTAGAAGATTTCTGCACAGCATTATTGATCTTCAATATTTCCACAACATTGTTGTCAGTAACAGCAGTGCCCAACTCTTCACAAGACAGTTGTAACATACTCGTGTCTGAAGCTAGACACAAATACAACAAAATTATTGATGATGGTAACAAAGTCCATTTCATGTGGAACCCATACCTTGTTGGCCTCCGAATGCATTAAAGAGCTGCTGAGTTAGCCAAAGAATCTGCTTTCAAGCCTGACAGCTGAGTGGACAGCGCTTCGGATTCGTAGTCCTGAGGTTCGGGGTTCGATCCCCGGTGGAGGCGGAGTCAAATCGGCAAAATGTTACTTTCCCCCTGATGCCCCTGTTACCTAGCAGTAAATAGGTACCTGGGAGTTAGACAGCTGCTACGGGCTGCTTCCTGGGGGTGTGTAACAAAAAGGAGGCCTGATCCAGGACCGGGCCGCGGGGACGCTAAGCCCCGAAATCATCTCAAGATAACCTCAAAGAATGAGTTTATGATAACATTGGATTGCCTATAATCAGTCTGAGAGCAATAATACACCAAGAACTTAACTTAAACAAAAGCTTGTAGATGTGAGACAAGGTGAAATCTACACCAGCAATTCCATCATCATACTATCATGCAAGAAGAGCCACACATCTTAGGATTATCCAATTAAATCAGCAGACTCGTAGATGTTACTGCTGATCGGCTTATACTCGGTTATACGTATCTCAAGGAATTTTCATTACCTGCTGATGTAGATCTGATCAAATGTAAACTGTGTCAACAAAATTATCCGCACACCCTCCGTCACTATGTGATGGAGTGCGAAAATATACGTGAGTTTAGAGACAGCTCTATAACAAATGTTCAAGAAATGTGTAAATATTTAATTGAAAATGATCTACTACAGAAATTTTAACCAAACCCTAGCTTGCTAACTGTAAATAATAAATATGGGTGATTGTGGGCGGTGGACGGCGGTGAGTAGTGTGGGCGTGTGATGAGTGTGGGCGTGTGAGGAGTATGGGTGTGTGATGAGTGTGGGCGTGTGAGGAGTATGGGTGTGTGATTAGTGTGGGCGTGTGATGAGTGTGGGCGTGTGAGGAGTATGGGCGTGTGATGAGTGTGGGCGTGTGAGGAGTATGGGTGTGTGATGAGTGTGGGCGTGTGAGGAGTATGGGTGTGTGATGAGTGTGGGCGTGTGAGGAGTATGGGTGTGTGATGAGTGTGGGCGTGTGAGGAGTATGGGTGTTTGAGGGGTGTGGGCGTGTAAGACAATGACATAGCTAGCGGAGTGAGCAGCGACCAGGCTGACCAGCGTGCGGCACGTGTGTCTAGAGTCTAGATAATAAAATAGCCTGGCAACAATGCAGCAGTTAATCGGTGAATGAAGCAATTTGCGAGAGACAGGAGGGTAAAGGCCAGCAATTATAACTTTTGTGATTACTTGGAGTGTGATCAAGGTGCTGAGAGAGAGAGAGAGAGAGAGAGAGAGAGAGAGAGAGAGAGAGAGAGAGAGAGAGAGAGAGAGAGAGAGAGAGAGAGAGAGAGAGAGAGAGAGAGAGAGAGAGAGAGAGAGAGAGAGAGAGAGAGAGAGGGGGGGGGGGTAACCAGCCTGTTACCATCCAATCATTAAGTAGTTACCAATTTGTCATCAAACAGCCACAAGTGAGCCACCGCCCATCCACCAACTAATCACTGTCCTTTCACCAACCGGTCCCTAACCCGCCTCCAGCCACAACAGATGCAGGGAACAAATACAAAAAGACCAGCACTCAACATAAAATATACTTCTCTTGGCCAGTAAATATGTATTATACTCGACCAAAATTTAATTAACCATTTATAAATCTCTCGATCAGAAATGCACGAGATAGTAGTCATTTGTTATTCTCGTGTGTTCAGTAAGCGATCAAAGGAATTCCAATGGTCGGCAATAATGATCAGGGAACGAGACTTTTATGTTCCCGAGGTAGAGGAGCACGGAGGTGGACCCGAGGTGGAGGAGCACGGAGGTGGACCCGAGGTGGAGGAGCACGGAGGTGGACCCGAGGTGGAGGAGCACGGAGGTGGACCCGAGGTAGAGGAGCACGGAGGTGGACCCGAGGTGGAGGAGCACGGAGGTGGACCCGAGGTGGAGGAGCACGGAGGTGGACCCGAGGTGGAGGAGCACGGAGGTGGACCCGAGGTGGAGGAGCACGGAGGTGGACCCGAGGTAGAGGAGCACGGAGGTGGACCCGAGGTGGAGGAGCACGGAGGTGGACCCGAGGTGGAGGAGCACGGAGGTGGACCCGAGGTGGAGGAGCACGGAGGTGGACCCGAGGTGGAGGAGCACGGAGGGGGACCCGAGGTGGAGGAGCACGGAGGGGGACCCGAGGTGGAGGAGCACGGAGGGGGACCCGAGGTGGAGGAGCACGGAGGTGGACCCGAGGTGGAGGTGCACGGAGGGGGACCCGAGGTGGAGGAGCACGGAGGTGGACCCGAGGTAGAGGAGCACGGAGGTGGACCCGAGGTAGAGGAGCACGGAGGTGGACCCGAGGTGGAGGAGCACGGAGGTGGACCCGAGGTGGAGGAGCACGGAGGTGGACCCGAGGTGGAGGAGCACGGAGGGGGACCCGAGGTGGAGGAGCACGGAGGTGGACCCGAGGTGGAGGAGCACGGAGGTGGACCCGAGGTGGAGGTGCACGGAGGGGGACCCGAGGTGGAGGAGCACGGAGGTGGACCCGAGGTGGAGGAGCACGGAGGTGGACCCGAGGTAGAGGAGCACGGAGGTGGACCCGAGGTAGAGGAGCACGGAGGTGGACCCGAGGTGGAGGAGCACGGAGGTGGACCCGAGGTGGAGGAGCTGGGCGAGGAATAAGTGGTAGAGAATTATGTCGATAGAGGGGGCAGTGAAGAGTGAGAAAGGTGGAGAGGAAAGGTAGAGTAGAGGAGGAGGAAGTAGAGAGGAGGGGAGAGAGGTAGAGTGGAGAAGGAGAGCGGTAGGGTGATGTAGGGAAGGGTGAAGGTAAGGTAGAATGAAGAGGTAACGTGGAGGGGAGGGGAGGAAAGGGTGGGTGAGGGAGGGTAGGGTGGAGGAAGGGAAGAGTGGAGGAGGGATGGGATGTATCATGCGGGAAAGCGCCAAGCCATTACGACTATATAGCACTTGGAAGGGGTCAGGATAAGGATTTGGGATGGGACGGGGGGATGGAATGGTGCTCAACCACTTGGACGGTCGGGGATTGAACGCCGACCTGCATGAAGCGAGACCGTCGTTCTACCGTCCAACCCAAGTGGTTCTTAGGGTAAGGTGGAGGGGTGGAGGTGGGGAAGGATAGGTTGATGAGGGGGAAGGGAGGGTGGAAGAGAATGGTAGGGTGGAGGACGAGCAGGATAGGGTGGAAGAGGTGGAAGGTAGTGTGGAGAGAGAAAGAGAAAGAGAAAGGAGGGACAGGTTGAGGTGGCGGGGGAGAAGGTAGGATGGAGGGAAGAAAGTTGAGTAAAGTAAAACAGGGTAAAAAAGGGGTGAAGGTAAGATGGGAAGAGTAGGATGAAGTAGACATATTCTAAGAGTGGAGGGAAGGTGTATAGAGCAACGTGGCGGGCGTGACAACCTCTCAACAGGAACTGGGGCATCATTCCACACATCATATTGAATGTCCAGTCATTAGACCCTTCACACCTTTCGGTATAGGGTACCTGCAGCTTTGCAACAACTATTAGTTCTCGTGCTCTTGAGTATAGCCACGTTATGCATCCAAAGCTTATCAGTGCAAGCTACTGCTCATGTGACCCTGTATGACCAACCATCCTGTGAGACTGGGGATGTTTTAGCATCATGTAGCTAGCTCTTATCACACTATATAACCCAGCGTTTCTCAGCCTTTTTACCCTTGTAGAATCCTTGAAATAATTTTCATGTCTCAAAGAACCCCCTGCATTAAAAAAATATTATATAATATGTATATTTATTAGTCTCAAAGATATATATTTATTTATCACAAAAAATCAACCATAGCTGTAAACACAAAAATATACATGAATGGTGTTCAAAAATCATAAGATAAGGCAAAGCAATAGTAACAAATGTGTCAAGACAATGTTATTTTTTAAGCCAATTTAGATAATGAGATTTTGTTCTCTACTGTGAAACCTGTGCTTGCCTTTTGGTATACAAATACTGTACTTAATTCGACGTCGAACTTTAGATAAACACACAGATTTCATTTTGAACTGAAAGTAGATGATTTCTGACGTTGTTCTTGATACTAGTTAAAGGAGATAAAGCTTGCTCACATATGTAGGAAGTTGAAAACTGCAACAATATATTTATTTCTTTCCTATGTTTGGCAGGATAATCATCTTTCACAGAAATTCAGAACTTATCCAGGGATTGGTCAGTGAAACTCACCTCGAGTGTACGATCAGACTGCAGCTCAAAAAAAGTTCTTCCTCTTATTTTAAAGTAAAGCATTTGCATATGATAATCATTAGCCTATTTATCACTATCTCTTGCGGAACACCTAGTGACCCTCAGTTGAGAAACGCTGATGTAACTCTTCATATAGTCCAAGGTAGCTGCATAAACGCAGATGAACCTAGATATGATAATTAAACAAGGAAGGCGAAGCGAGCCGAGTGGAGAAGTTGAAGAGGAAGGAAATAATGTGGAGGAGGTGAGGTGGAGGGAGGGGGCTTTCTTTCATCCCACAAAATCCATTAATGGATTGTAGATTTAACCCAAAGGAGATTAGGGTCTCCGAGCTGACTGTTCACCATTCTGGGAGGGAGGGAAGGTGGGAGGGGAGAGGAGAGGGGCAGGAAGTGTTGTAAAAATCATGTGCCATTTCGTTGTCGTATTATAAAGAAAGAATTGTATTGCGTTAATTTTTTTTTACTTAGTTTGTATTGAATTTTGTATGCGTACAAATAATATACATATATTTAGTACCAGTATATATTTACTTATAGCCTTGGTACCATTCAAGTTTATTCTATGATTTTGCATGTTCCATAGCCTAAAGCTTGTACTTTATGAAATAGTTAACGATGTAACCCCAATGCATTGGCATTGCATCGCGTGGGCAGAGTTTTAAGCTTCAGCTACTACTCATTAAATTTCTAAGCATTCAAGCAAATGCACACACACACACACACACATACACACACACACACACATACACACACACATACACATACACACACGTCGCTGGAAGAGACAGAAGAGTTAGGGGGACATGACCACCACGTACAAGATTCTCAGACGAATTGACAGGGTAGATAAAGACAGGCTATTTAACACAAGCGGCACACGCACCAGGGGACACAGGTGGAAATTGAGTGCCCAAATGAGCCACAGAGATATTAGAAAGAATTTTTTTAGTGTCAGTTGTTGACAAATGGAATGCATTAGGCAGTGATGTGGTGGAGACTGACTCCATACACAGTTTCAAATGTAGATATGATAGAGCCCAGTAGGCTCAGGACCCTGTACACCAGTTGATTGACAGTTGAGAGGCGGGACCAAAGAGCCAGAGCTCAACCCCCGCAAACACAAATAGGTGAGGTGAGTACAAAGGCATGTGCTCAACACTTCAGACATGATCCCATACGAGAAATGGAACACTAAAGTTCATTTGAAACGAATCCCTCGACTACACTATGTAGGAAATAAAGAATATTTAAACGATTTCTGCTATTGGTTCCTCGCATGGAATAACAGATATAACAAGAAACGCTCTTTGCATCATAAATCTACAATGGTGCCTTGATATGTGTATTGTCTCACATTCTTGCAGGAAAATAGTTCGAGTTGGTGTTGGGTGAATTTGACGTGTCTTGGATGGAATAGGGTCCAGGTGGGCTAAGCTAAACAAAGGTTGTGGGGATTGGGTTGTTGAGGGCAAGGATAAGGAAATCCAGGATTGGGTTGGCTGGGCCGGCGTGAGCTCTCAGATGAGTTAAGCTAAAATAGATTGTGATGGGGTTTATATTGCTATTACTACCAACACTGCTACCGCTAATACTTCTATTACTACTGTTGCCCTGTTCACAGCTCCTTATGTTCCCTCAGTGTCGAATATAGCCCCACAAATTTCACCACGAGGACCCAAATCTCACAAGCGCAGCTCCTTTACACACCCCTCACATCCCTACAGTCCCTCAGAGCCCCCTCACACTACGAAGTTTTTTTTTTATAAATCCCTAGAGTCCCTTAATGCCCATCACTGCTCCCCATAGGCCCCCCAGAGCCCCTCCCTGTCCCTTCACAATCGCTCTCAGTCCCTCACATGTGAGAGCTCCTCTGAGAGCCCCATGCAGTTTCCTTCCCCTCCTCAGAGTCCCTCCCAAGTGACTGCGTTATGACTATCGAGCGTCACCTGGTGGGGGTCACGACAGTCTGTGTATATAACTCTGGGAAACCCCTGCCCGGGTCGATACCCGGCTCCTAGCTCTTTCCCCGAGGTTGTCGGGCTCGGCGCTTGCTGAAGACGAAGAAAAATATTTACATGTTTACCCTAATTTTTAGTTTACAAAACCGTTGTATATATTATAATTAATATATGGGTTGCCGTCTTTGGACACATTTGGAAGAACGCTTAGCCTCGGAGGAGAAAATAAATGACTTTAGAGGGAGCCATTTTGTACCCCCGCATAAGGACTTGTATATCGTCTTCGCCTACTATGCATATATATCTGAAAGACAAGATGGAAAGACTTCAGCACGATTACAATTTATTGTCATCGTTTTGGTTAATATTAAACACCATCTGCACAAGTGGCTGAACGTATACAGAACAACACCAAATTGTGAATAGACTTTAATAGGAGATAGTGTTTTACCTGTTTTGATATTACTTTGCCCCTAAGAGAAGAAACTTCCAGGAAGAGACGCTTGGTCAGTTGAGGGAGATGGGGAGCTCCCAGTAATAGACGCTCGGCCAGGGAACGGGGAAGGCCGCAGAGGGAGACTGAACTAAAAATATGAAGGACTTGGGCAGTGAGGAATGTCTGAATTATTCAACTTCCTCTGAGCTGAGAGAAATATTCCCCGTTCCGGTCACCCGCCAAGCGTAAATTTTTCTGACGAGAGAGAGAGAGAGAGAGAGAGAGAGAGAGAGAGAGAGAGAGAGAGAGAGAGAGAGAGAGAGAGAGAGAGAGAGAGAGAGATTACAGACAGACAGACAGACAGACAGACAGACAGTTATGTCGTTGAAAAGGTAAAAAAAAAAGAAAATTATGTTTTCGTTGCATTGCCGATGTGGAACGCTAAACATTTGTACCATTCGTGAAAGAGAAACTGACACACTGGTTACCCCTCCTGGCACTATGGCCATTGATTATTAATTAACTATATGTTTAACACATTTCTAACCCTGTCCATGGAGGACAGAAGAAAATGTATATATGCTGCTTAGCATTGTAAATGTGTGGCCACGTCTGTGGTAGAAAAAAACTATGGCCATCCCTCCTGGCACACTGATCACCTCTCCAGACACTGAGGTCATCCCCACTGGTATTATGGACACCCCTTCCAGCATTATGGTCACCCTTCCTGGCACTGTGGTCACCACCTTCTGGTACTGTGGTCAGTACCAGAAGACACCCTACACTGCTCAGGTGTCGGGGAACACTGGTCACCCTACACTGCTCAGGTGTCGGGGAACACTGGTCACCCTACACTGCTCAGGTGTCGGGGAACACTGGTCACCCTACACTGCTCAGGTGTCGGGGAACACTGGTCACCCTACACTGCTCAGGTGTCGGGGAACACTGGTCACCCTACACTGCTCAGGTGTCGGGGAACACTGGTCACCCTACACTGCTCAGGTGTCGGGGAACACTGGTCACCCTACACTGCTCATGTAACCTATCGGA